AAGAGTGTGACTGGGAGTAAGAAGAGAATGTTCTAAGAGTTAGCTGTTGTGAGTAAGAAACCATTTGAACAGAAATTACCATGCATTCACCAGTGTGTGATGTCGAAACTGGAAGACAGGAGGCGAAAGGTCCATAAATTGTGAAAGTCATTGGCCCATAAGTTAACTAAGAGTGTATGTGATGTTCTCGGGAAACAAGAAACTCTCATAACTTAAGAGAAATCTGCATACTTCAGCCTCAGTCAAAGATCCTCTTCAGAACATGAAGGTCTCTGACTGAGGGTAAAATACCTGAATCTATCTCTACAGTAGGGTTATTATTGAAAGAATTAGAGGTAAGACAGAGAGCAGGATTGCAGATGAGCAAGGAGGCTTTAGAGTAGGTAGGGGATGTGTAGATCTAGTGTTTACATTGAAGCATATGTGAACAGTATTTAGATAAAGGTAGGGAAGTTTTCATTGCATTTATGGATTTAGAAAAGGTATATGATAGAGTGGATAGGGAAGCAATGTGGCAGATGTTGCAAGTGTATAGAATAGGTAGTAAGTTGCTAAATGCTGTAAAGAGTAAAGAGTTTTTATGAGAATAGTAGGGCTCAGGTTAGGGTGTGTAAGAGGGAGATTACTTCCTGATGAAAGTAGGTCTTAGACAGGGATGTGTAATGTCACCATGGGTCACAATGTATATAATGTATATTACCTGTTCATATAATTTTATATTGCTTATATTTGCAATATTAGCTAAATCGTAAACATATTGCTTTATGTTATTATTTGACTTAGTTATATTATTAGGTAGGATGTAACATTTATATATTATTCAGTGCTCATAGTTTGAGTGTTAAATAGCTGACAGCATTGTCTAACTACTGTAGTTTTCACTTGGCTCATTACGCTGCCGGCTTCTGTGTTGGGGGGCAGCAGCAGTCCATGGAGAGTCACATGATTGGGGGGGGGGGGGTCACACCTCACCTGGATTAGTCTGCCTGGCCTGCACTTCCTCTTGTCTGTTTGACGATCTTCTAACAAGATGTGCCTCTAGCTCTCCCTTGCTGGCCCTTGTTGGAAGATCGTCTCTGTCGCTTTCTTGTTGTTGGTTCTGTGTAACTCTGTTCACAGAACATGGTCTAGACTTGGTGATTTTTGACGTTGTACTGAGGTTGTGTGTCACATAGACAGTCTGAGAAACTCAGGTCCTGAGCTGTAGCTTCTGACCTAATTTGTATTGGTATCTGTGCACTGTCCCAGTCGGGGATTTTCTAATGCTGAACTTAGATTCAGTAGTATGGGAGTTTTGTGACTTTTGTGGAGGAGTTGCAGATGGTCCCTACTTAGTGTCATTATATTATCTCCTTGTTCCTGATTCTGTGTTGCTGTTGCTTGTTATATTGCTGTTTGGCTTAACAGTCGCTTTATTGTTCAAGCAAGCTGTTCTGATTGCCAGGTTGGTCAAGAAGTTAGTTTATGTGAGGACTTTTAGTCAGTCACTGGTTAAGTCCAGTCGAGTCTTGAGACATAGTGAGCTACTTAGAACACTTACACACAAACTTACTTGTATATATTTGTACTATGTTATTAAATGCTAACAATGTACCAGACAGTACTTAAAAGCCATAAGATGTGATATGAGCCTTCAGCTCTATACTACTGTATATGAGAGAAGTGTAGGAACTTGTATCCTATATTATATTCAATTGATTAATTTAATTTACTTTGATAATATATGCCTAGACTGTGATGTAGTTCAGCTGGGCTTGTGAGGTCTCTGGGGAGACCTAATTTAACCAATTATATGGTCACACCTTGCCTTGGCAAACGTCTGTAGCCACGCCCACGTCTGAGGTCTTTTGTTCTTGACGCCTCAGACCTAGGCGTCAGGTCGTACACGTGGTTGTGGAGGGTGCTTGGACCACCATAAAAGCCCAAGGAAGAGCATGATCAAGAGATTCGAGCGGAGCTGCTGCTGGGGTCCAGAGCTCCTGAGCAGAGATTCGAGCAGAGCTGCTGCTGGGGTGCAGAGCTCCTGAGCAGAGACTTCGAGCGGAGCTGCTGCTGGGGTGCAGGGCTCGGGAGAAGGCTGCTGAAGTCTCTGGAGGAGACTGTTGGAGACATTGGGCAGAGTACTGACTTGGAGCAGTACTCGTGCTGTGTAGGTCTTGGGACCTGGAGCTTAGTTTCTGTAGTGAACTGCCCTCTGAACTATATTGTAAGTTACATTCATTTTGGTCAAGTTGATTGTATTTCCCTGTCTCACTGCTTATGTGTACCACCCCATTTATCTGAACCCCAATGATGTACTCCTGTTCCCAAATATATTATTGTACAAGGACTTAATAATAAACTGTGTTTGAGTAGAATAGTAATATTCACTGTCCCCGTTATTAGCTATTCCTATTTCTTATATTTTATTATGTTTATATATGAGTGAAGAGTGGGCGAGGCATATGTTAGTGAGTAGTGTAGAGTTAATGAGTGTCGTGGTGGTCACCACTGACCTGTCATTACCTACCTACCTCCACTAATCATCTCACTCCTACCACCTCGCCTGCCTCTCCCCTGCCTACATAATCCCTTACTCCCATATTCCCCACTTATATCCTATTCATTCATTACCCCCTACATGACAAGACAACTTTGTTATTAATAAACTTATTAAATTTTAATTTCTTTAGTTAGTAGCCTACCAGTTGTAATCCTGAAGCACTATTGAATCTTACTAAATTCTAATGGATAATTGGACCAGGATACTGACTTGTTACAAAAACCCAGTAACAGGCTGGATGCTAGAAAGGCAGTCCTTTCTAGTATTCACTGGAGATCTCTATTATTATTAGAAATTGCATTTTTTGTAACAGGTTGTAAGAGAAGTAAATGTTAGGGTGTTGGGGAGAGGGATGGGATTAAATTATGGGGAATTAAATACAAAATGAGAGTTGACACAGTTACTTTTTTGCTTATGATACTGAGCTTTTGGGAGATTCTAAAGAAAAGTTACAAAGGTTAGTGGACGAGTTTGGGAGGGTGAGTAAAGGTAGAAAGTTGAAAGTGAATATAGATAAGAGTAAGGTGATAAGGGTATCAAATTATTTAGATAAAGAAAAATTGGATATCTGTGGAGACAAAAAAGGTTATCTATGGAGGCAAAGAAGGGAATGTACGAAAGTATAGTGGTACCAACACTCTTGTATGGGTGTGAAGCTTGGGTTGTAAATGCTACAGTGAGGAGGTGGCTGGAGGCAGTGGAGCTGTCCTGTCTAAGGGCAATGTGTGTGGTGTAAATACACCTACCATCCAACTTACGACCGGGTTCGGTTCCGAGAAACCGGTCGTAAGTCGAAATGGTCGTAAGTCGAACTTTACTACTGAATATCAACAAAACATTTTTGTAATGACTTTATTTTATCGTTTTATTTTGGTATTTCATGTTTTACTTTACTTTTTATGTTGTTAGTACTGTATTTTATACTGTAAAGTTTAGGATAAACACTGTGTACGACACAAATAGTTGTTTATTTCCCAGAAATTTGGCATAAAAAACACGGTCGTAAGTCGAGTGGTCGTAAGTCGAGCAGGTCGTAAGTCAGATGGTAGGTGTATTATACAGAGAATTTATAGTGTGGCTGAAGAGGGGTTGTTGAGGTGGTTTGGTTATTTAGAGAGAATGGGACAAAATAGAATGACTTGGAGAATGTATAAATCTGTAGGGTAAGGAAGGTGGGGTAGGTGTCGTCCTCGAAAAGGTTGGAAGGAGGGGGTAAAGGAGGTTTTGTGGGCAAGGGGCTTGGATTTCCAGCAAGTGTGTGAGTGTGTTAGATAGGAGTGAATGGAGATGAATGGTTTTTGGGACCTGACAAGCTGTTGGAGTGTGTGAGCAGGGTAATATTTTGTGAAGGGATTCAGGGAAATCGGTTAGCTGGACTTGAGTCCTGGAAATGGGAAGTACAATGCCTGCACTTTAAAGGGGAGGTTTGTGATATTGGCAGTTTGGAGTAACTATCTAAACTGTCGTATGTGGGTGCCTCTGCAAAGACAGCGATTATGTATGAGTGATGGTTAGTGTTGAATGATAATGCAAGTTTTTTCTTTCTTTTTGGGTTTTTCTTTCTTTTGGATCACCCTGCCTTGGTGGGAAACGGCAGACGTGTTAAAAAAAAAAGAAAATCTCTACCCGTGTTACACATTTCTGTTTAAGTGGCTATTTTGCATCACTCTGCATTACTCTGTGGCACTTTAATCTGAGCATAGAGTAAGGAATACATACCACTTTAAGAGAAGTAGAGTACAGTACTCTATCAGGATTAAAATAAAGAGTTATAGAAAAAACAAGTATAAAGTATGTTGATAGTTCAAGCACTAGCAAAATGATTCAGTCATATGGGGTGAAAACAAAATCTATTTTTTGTAGTGGAAAATTATTATTACAACTGAATTAGAGTCCTGTCCACCTCTATATTAGTTCAGTATTGCATCAGTTCCAAATGAATATATATTTTCATCTCTACATGCCATTAATCAATCTCATATAAAACCAAAAATTAGAAACAGAAACACTTGGATGTGTATAAAATAATAATAATAATCATAATGTTTGAATAATACTTAATATTGTAATTACAAAAAATGCAAAATAACCACAGGGGTAGTTTAATGATATCTCTAGGTCTTTCATGTTGCAATCACATCAGAAGCTTGCAATGTTGCAGAAACGAGTAGGAAGTCCATGTAGATGCCTTCAGGGAAACTACTCTCTCCAGAATCGTTTACCTCAATCTGGTTATTTTGCATCTTTTACAACTCGTTTGCGATTACTGCATTACGAAAGTATATACATTTTAGTCTACTTTTTCCAGTGATTTTGCAACAGCCTTAACAGCTGAAGTGTGCTGCCCATCATTTCACTTGTTATTTTTTATAACTGTATGTACTACAATGGAGGGCACATCAAAATTACTCAACTCAGAAGATAGTAACATTAACAGGAAATTAAGGAAGACTGGAGCTTATATATCTAAGCAGTATGCATTAATTTATTGCATTTACATAGAATGAAGACTTACAAAATACTTGTACATTGATAAAAACCTCACATTTGTAGTAATATGCTATTTTCCAGCTATATTTCACTGACCTCATTTTTACTCCAGTTTCTGTCAATGTGAAACTATGAAATTATAGATGAAGCTATGAAAGCCTGTATAATTTATACAAAAATATATACTTAAGAATCATTTTCACCTTTCAAACAAGCCATTCACACACAGGGATTTAATGTACATACTATATATACTGGATTGTTATATACAAAGTTATAAAAGAAGTACGTTTCTGGATACACTATTTTCAATTATGGTGAGACTAGGGTGCACCGTTAATGTCTCTAAGCTCTCGATCATCGTGGCGAAGGTCACTGTGGTTGTCAGTTTCTGAAGTGTTGGATATTAGACGCTTGATAGATGTACGGGAGAACAAAGAAGAATGATCGTCTTGACGTTGGAAGGGCACATCTCTGCCAGTAGTACTGTCATTATCATCTTCTCTAATAAACCAGTTGCTGAAGTAATGCAGCTGCAGAGGGACATAAAAAACATTAAATTTAGATTCCAAAAGCACAGTAAGCCTAATGTAAATCAATATCACTGTAAATCAATATCACTGTAAATCAATATCACTGCAAGGTGATTATTTTGTTGCTAAACACCAATTATCAAATACAGTGGACCCCTGACTTTCATGATTAATCCATTCCAGAGTCCGCTGAATGGCAAAACCATTTGCCCCATAAGAAATAATGGAAATCCAATTAATCCGTTTCAGACACCCAAAAGTATTAACAAAAAATATTTTTTTTATAGACTTAATATAGATTTACATACAGAAAACAATGACAAATAAATATAAAGCACTAATAAAATGGATAAATGAACATTTAACACCACACTTATCTTTATTGAAGATTCTTGTTGGTGTATGGCAGACAGGTAGGAGGCGAGAGGGAGGCGAGTTTCTTATGCTTCAATATGATGCTAATGTCATCTCTACGGCTTATTTATCTATCACAATTCATCTAATATGACATAATAAACAATATTAATAACATAGAAACATGATATATACTCTAGAATTAATAAAATATGTCATTCCGTATGTCACGAGTGGTGGTGATGTTGTTGGGTTTATAAGGGCCAATGAGAGAAGCTGTACATATTAGTGGTGGTGGAGGCTGCAGCAGAAGCCACCACCACTATTCACACAAACAATGTATGTAATTTATAAATAGGAGATATTTACACTTTAATACTTACTTCACAAACTCTGATGATACCTTCAGCCCTTTCTACCTCAATCTCTTGCTACCCTCTACCCTGCACTATCCCCTGCCCCGCTGTTTTCTGTAACCTACTGATCGCCCCTTCCCCCTTCTGTTGCCCAATACCCTCGCTTCCTTCCCTACCCTGCAGCGCTGTATAGCCCTTGTGGCTTAGCACTTCTTTTTTATTATAAATAATTACACTTTAATTTATAAATAAGAAATACTAACACTTACCTTGGAGGAGATGTTAGTTTAATTAGTTACAGTGGGACCTCAAATTTCAAACGTATTGCTTATCGAACTCTTCGAAAATAGAACCCTTTTTTCAAACCAACTTTGTCCCTATTATCGAACTCGCCCCTATTTTCGAACCGCCGGGTACCAGACCTGTTCGGCAGCCCGCTCTGTCCATGTCCCCATGCAGGCGCTGTGAGCCAGTCTGGTTTTGTTGATGCTTGAGTGAACACTAACCTGTGATCTCATTCAAACATTGGAGAGTTACTTTCGTGTCTTTTTCTATCTCTTAATCACTTAACTTACTTGCTACTCTGTTAATGCTACACTTTATCACTCACTGGCACTATAGCCTTTATCAATACATATCGTAGAATCACTGAATCACTGAAGAAGGCACATTCTTCCCTCTCTCTTCCTCCTCCACTCTGGTACTTTGCTACAAGTTTTTTCTTGAATTCTATTGTGTTTCTTTCCTTCTTTACCAAAGGGCTGGCACTATGAGCTTTCTTTGGGCCCATGGTGACTTATTCAGCAGTTGCAAGCACAAAAAAAATGGATTATTATGAAATGTATCATATGAACCCGTGGGGTGGTGGTCACTCACCCACAAATCATGCCACACCGACTCTCTGAATGTTGTGTGGGAGCCTTTGTGTACGCCTGGCCGCTCCCAGCTGCAGAGACATGTCCTGTATGACGGACGGATGACGAGGCTAATCACGAACCGCGAGGCTATATTTTGACAAAAAAAGTTGCCGAAAGTCAGATTTCACAAAAGTTGCAGCCGCCAAAATGCAGGGGTCCACAGTACAGCTTTTAATAATTAAAATTAAAAGAAGAAAAGCATGATATTCTTAAAGAGCTCTCATTAAGTAAAATTAGTATAGTTCTGCATTCACTCATTCATTATACAGTTATTCGTATGCTGCAGTTATGAATTACTCTAGCAGTTGTTTTCTGATGTTACATTACAACTCCTTGGAAACACAGCTTTTATGTCTTGTGTGATCGTGTGCCTTGTATGCTGGAGAATACTTTAAGTACAGCCTCTCTTCTGCGATGTACTCATTTACTGACAACTTGGACTTAGGACGGGCTCTCTGTCCAGTATACATACCTAAATAATGTATATTAGAGCTGATTTCCTCTATTCTATTAATTACAATATACAGTACACTACTGTATAAACATTTAAAAATATACTAAAAATGTTATAAATGGTGCATAGGTGACATTAAAACAATATGAAAGATGGCTGACACAAACCCTTGCTTAGCGATGAATTCGTTTACCAACGTGTTCTCAGGAACAGAACTCTGTCGTTAAGTGAGGAGAGGCATGTAAAGTTTCATGAAACTGCAAAAGCATGATCGCAGACAAATCACAAAATGGGTGGAGGTCAAACCCATGGCACATTGGAGGTCGAACCCATGGCACAGTGGAGGTACGAACACATGGCACAGTGGAGGTTGAACCCATGGTACAGTGGAGGTCGAACCCATGGCACGTTGAAGGTCGAACCCATGGCACATTAGAGGTCGAATCCATGGCACGTTGGCCTGTGAGTTTTAGTACACACCTGCCATGGGTTCAAACCCCACATATTTTCTGGTTTATAGTACAGTAGTCTCCCTGTATCCGTGGGGGATATGTTCCAAGACCTACTGCAGATACCCGAAACCGTGGATAGTAGCAAACTTCATATGAAAGTCGCATTTCATTTACATACATACCTATGATAAAGTTTAATTGATAAATTATGCACACTAAGTCAAGAATTAGCACTTTTTCACTGATGGGAAGCACTTCACAGCTTCTCTAAGTCTTTGAAGAACTGTGAGCATCACTACTTTTGTGGTTTAGGGCCATTATTAAGCAAAATTAAGAATTATTTTCAAGTCATGGTAAACTGTGGATAACTGAAACTGCAGAAACCAAGTGTATAGTTACTACTTTGATGCTGTATGTTGTACAGTAGAACCTCGGTTCTAAAGCCAAATTAGACGAAAACTGAAGCAATATTTCCCATAAGAAATAATGTAAATCCAATTAATCCGTTCCATACACCCAAAAATATTAACAAAAAATACATTTTATAGAGAATAACTATAGTTTTACATACAGAAAACAATGAGAAATAAATATAAAGAACTAATTTAAATGGATAAATGAACATTTAAATCAGCTTTATCTTTATTGAAGACTCTTGTTGGTGTATGAAAGGCGACGAGGAGGGAAGAGGGAGGAGAGTTTATTGTTTGGAAGGGGAATCCCCTTCCATAAGGACTTCATGTATCAAGTCCCTACCCAGGATTACTTCCCTTCTTTGTCTTTTACTGGCACTAGGACCAGCTTGAGAGTCACTGTACCCCTGTCGCACAAAAAATCTGTCCAGAGAGGTCTGTTTCTGGCGTCTCTTTAAGATTTGCCTAAAATGGGACACAGCATTGTCATTGAACTTGTTGCAGACATGGCTTGCAACAGCTTTGTTAGGGTGATATTTCTCCACAAAACTTTGCATCTCACTCCACATTGCACAAATGTCCTTAATCACTGAAGAAGGCACATTCTCCCCTCTCTCTTCCTCCTCCTCTGAAGTAATTTCCTCGGCTGCAATCTGTTGCTGTTAAAGTTGAAGGTGTTGCAGCTCTTCAATGGTTAGCTCTTCCCTGTGGTCATCCACCAACTCTTCCACATCCTGACCACTCCCATGGACTTCCCCAAAGCCACAGTAGATTCCACAACAGGCGTAGGGATGTCAGGGTCAGCCTCAAACCCTTCAAAATCCTTCTCTTGGGCACATTCTGGCCATAATTTTCTCCAAGCAGAGTTCATCATCCTGGAAGTCACTTCCTGCCAAGCCTTATCTATAAGGCCTATGCAATCGAGGATACTGAAATGATTCCTCCAGAACTCTCTTAGGGTCAATTCAGTGTCCGAGGTCACTTCAAACATTTCAAACTTTGAAACATTGCTTTGGTGTAGAGTCTTTTGAAGTTTGAAATGACTTGCTGGTCCATGGGCTGGATGAGAGGAGTGGTATTAGAGGGCAAGAACTTCACTGTGATGAAACTAAACTCCTCCAACAATTGGTCTTCCAAGTCTGGAGGATGAGCAAGAGCACTGTCCATTACCAGGAGGCACTTGAGTGGCAATTTATTTTCCAGGGGGTATTTCTTCACACTCGGACCAAACACACTATTGACCCACTCAATGAAAATTTGTCTCTTGACCCATGCCTTATTGTTAGCCTTCCACATCACACACAATTTACTCTTGACGACATTGTTTTTCTTGAACACTCAAGGATTTTCAGAGTGATACACCAGTAAAGGCTTCACTTTGAAATCCCCACTAGCATTTCCACAGAACAAAAGAGTTAGTCTATCCTTCATAGCCTTGTTTCCTGGCAGTGCCTTTTCCTCTTGTGTGATATAGGTCCTCTTTGGCATTTTCTTCCTAAAGAGGCCTGTTTTGTCACAATTGAAGACTTGTTGGGGGAGAAATCCTTCAGCCTCTACACACTCCTTGAATTCGTCAACGAATTCTTCAGCCGTATGTTTGTCAGAACTTGCAGCCTCGCCATACCTTAACACACTGCGTATGCCAGATCGCTTCTTGCAGTTGCTGAACTAGCCTTTGCTGGCCTTAATTCACTAACAGCAGAACTCGTTCCAGGCATATTCTTTACGAGATCCACATGCAACTGCCTTGCCTTTTCACAAATTATCACTTCCACACCAACAACTTCTCAACATCTTCGATTGTCTGCGATCTCTGTTTCATTAGCACACTTACCCTTTCACAACATCAGATTCCTTGATTTCTTTTTTCTTGCCAGGATGGAACTGAACATTGAATGAAGACTTCCTGTACAACCTGGCAAGATCGACCATACGTAAGCCACTTTCATACTTTTCTACAAGCCTTTCTTGAATTCTATCATGTTTCTCACCATCTTTATCAAAGGGCTGGCACTCGGAACTTTCTTTGGCCCCATGGTGGCTTATTTAGCAGT